TCACTTCCCAAAAGACAAAGGGTAAGGAAACTGATAGAGAACGCAATGACAGAGCAGAAGTGCAGTCTGTTACTGAAACCCAACTTGAAACAAAGTCAGATGTTTCAGCAAAAGATTCATCAAGCACAGCCATTGTGAATGTTAATGAACTAGTCCCTAAAAGTGTTGATTCAAAGACATACAGAGACTGTATAGCCACAAGTAACAGCACTTCTGATAAAACCCTGACGAACTTGGAATGTGCCAAAGCGACAAATACTCAAACATACCTTGCAAGATGCCATGAACCTCAGATAATATCATATAGTAACTTTGCATTAGATGATATATCACACAACACTTACATAGTCAAAGAAAACCATGATGGCAGTATAAACAGTGCTGCAAATATACTGAGTCAGCCTGGTAAACAAGCACAAGTCCCATCAGTAGACGGCACAGACGTCACATTAAGCTCAGTAAAACAACACATGCACAACACCTTTCAAGAACAAGCTTGCATAACACAAGTACCTGCATACTTCTCCAGAAAAACACTTCATTTACCCTTTTCCAATGTGCAAGCAATGGATTTGAGTTTGCAAACCAACAAACATAAATCACAGTTGCCCACAGCTGATGTACAAAGTTCAGCTCCAAAAGTGTCTCCTCCAAATCTACCTACCACAGATTCACAAACAACCTTGCCAGACCTGCAAACGCCTACAACTGATATCAGTGATGATTACTTATCACCAAGAGAGGACTCCACTACCTCTGAAGAGTACTTTGAATGTAGTGAATCTCCTTCACATGAACCTGTTCTTGACACAAGTGGGAGTCGCAGCCATGGGACAGGAAAGAATAGCAGCCCAACTAACTCAGATTGTCGTTTTTCAAGAAATGTTGGCACTAGTTCTGCTGACTTGGATAATAGTTCTAATGCTTCTACATTAACCAGTTCAAGTCATAGTACTTCTTCCAGTGAATCCAGTATTTTATCTTGGACTTCTAGAGAGCCCCCTATATCTGTGCTTGGGACAAAAGGCCAAAACAGAGAGTCAAAGATCACTAATAGAAGAAATAGCAAAGAAGGTGCTAAAATCGAGGTAAGCAGTAGCAACACAGAGAAAAAGAAGGAGCGAGTACACCAGAGCACGGAGGGGACAGACAGTAAGGAGTTAAATCAAATGCCTAGATTTTTGAAAAAGGAGAGTGATTTAAAAGAAACGGCCTTAAAACTCAGTAAGGCCTCTGGGGGACAGGTTGAAGGAGCCACGACAGACGGACAATCAGTGCAGAAAGAGACAAAGCAGTTGTCCACTGGTGAACTTAAACCAGAAAGGGTTTTATCTGAGGGAAAGAAATCCCTTTCCAGCAAGGATAAGCCAACGAACCAGGCTGCACTAACCCACGGCAATACAGAGATAAGACAGAGGCAATCTACAAGGGAGACAACAGGACAGAAGGTATGGAAGTCATGAATGTCACATTTTCTTATTAGATCATTTGTTTTTTTAGAGAGAATATAGATGTTTCATACCAACTAAATCCCCAATAGACGTCGATCAAAGTCATTGTAACGCTGCTGAAAAATTAGAAAGTGGATTTCTAGAGCATTGATAGCTTTGTTGTGGTATTGTAAGTAGATGTGAAAATACAGTGATCAGATCACCTGTCTGATCAAGTGTTGGTCCCCTTTTTTGCTGCTAAATATTCCTGACCCATTGGGTCATCGACTCCTGTAAAACCTTGAAGGCATGCTGTGAAACGTTAACCAAATGTTAACCGTAGTCCAATCAGTAGTTTTTTTTTTCTTTGTGGTTAGGATGCTTTATCTTCCTGCAAAAGGCCGCAGCCATCTCGGATTATTATTAATCCACACTGACTAATCGAGTTGTATTCTCAGCAAACTGCAACTCACTTTGTATTCAAACTACTAGCCTTGTCAAACTTACGCAACTCTGACACAAAGAAAATACTGACTTGTTGAATTAAATTCCTCAAAACTACCAGGTACTATTACAAACAGATAATCAGTTTTCTTCACTCCACTTGTCATTGGTCATAATATGCCAAAGCAGTGTAAGTTACAGTGCAATGTAGACATTTTCTGTCATTTGTCCTTTTCATTAAGTGAACTGTTGCCCTGTTTTACCTGTTGGTTAAGTATGCCTTCTGTGTCTCTGCAGCCTTTGAATCTTTCACCCAAATCTCAGCCGCGTCAGCAGCCAGGCAGTAGAGGCTCTTCACCATCACGACCACTGAGGTCCCCTAGCGGCTCTCAAGCTCAGGCACCTCGTCCTTCGGGAATCCGTGATCTCAACCAAACAGAAAGCAGGGCTCTTCAAAGTAATGTCAAAGAGTTTGTTTATAAGCCACCTCCTCGCAGATCACAATCCAGATCCCCCTCTCCAATGAAAGCTGCTCCCCTTGGGTCTGCAGCCGGGCGGAAGCAGGTCTCCCAGAGCCAGCTGCTCACTCGGCAGCCTCCAGCAGCGCAGATTCGGTCAAAGTTTGACCGACCAGAAATCCAGCCTGCAAAGCAACAGGCCTCCACTCTCCACACTCTTTCCAGCCCGCAGCCTAAGGCCCACCCTCTTGCCTCTACTCACCAAATGTCTGAACAGGCAGCTCAAGAATCAGAAGAAGCAAGGGCTCCTTTTAACTTAACTCTCAGCAGGTTATACAACTTCAGGGGATTAAGGGACAAATGGACCAAGCAGCCGACTCAGAGCAGGAGCAGTAGCACTGGCACACCGGTAAAAGAACGTAAAAGCACAAGTTAATGATGTTTATCTGTTGCCCTGTCATCGCAATATGTTACTGAAACATCAGACCAGAGAACAGGGATTAAAAACTGAGTCCATGCTGAAAAGCACATCTTTTTTTTTTTAAGATTTTTTTGGCTCTAGTGGCCTTTATTTGATGGTTAACCAACAGGAAGGTGGGCAATGAGAGAGGGGGGAAGACATGCAGCGAGGGTTGCCAAGGCCGGGAATCGAACCTGCGACAGCTGCATTGAGGACCAAGGTCTCCATATGTGGGCTGTGCTTAACCCCTGAAAATCACATCTAAGTGTTTTTGATATTATTTGCTATTATTTCTGAAAAGTTCATGATGTTTCCTTGTATTTCTTTTTAAAGTGTTAAATTTGCACACTGTTATTACGTAATAAATATCAGATGTACTGTATGTCAGTCTGCATGGAGTACATGCCAAAATTTGCTGTAACATTAAAATTAAATTCTGTTCTCACTTTATTTGGTGGTGCACATGAATTCGCCTTTTTTTGTTTAGTTTATGGTTTACTGTATTTACCAAGTTTATTTACATATTTTTGAGAGGTTTTCTAAGCTGAGCATTCAGCTGAAGTACAGCTTTGAGTTGGGAATATGATGAAAACAATGAACCGATTCCTCCAGCCGTGACCCACGGTGCCTTTTCAATCCAAAACATTGTGACAGTTTTAATGTGGTTTTCCTGCTCTGACTTTCTGTTTAAACAAGATTTTTCAATAAAAAAAAATTTTTGAAACACAACACAGGATGTTGTTCTATTGTTGTTCCTGGCGCTTCGTACGTTCTGTCGCGACTGCTTTGTATTCATTCACGGTGTGTCATCAAGCCTATTGATTCATTCTTTGTTTACACCAAAATCCATTTACATTCAAATGCTTCTGGCCGGAAATACAAAGTCACAATGCCTTCGCCCAAAGCCAAGCAGGAGCGAGAACTGTGGGGATGAACACAGTAAACACCTGAAAGGCTTGTTATGCATAAGACGGATCCAGATGTCCTGCAGATTACGAAGACAGGGCACAAAAAGAAAAAATGAACAGGTCATGTAATTAGATTAAAGGGTATCTTTTAAAAAAAACAAAAAAAAACTTTTAAACACCTTTGTTTTATTGTATGCAATATATTTCCATGTATTGTTTTGGTAAAGTATTAGCGCCAGTCAAGGAGTTTCACAGATGAGTTTTGTTTTGTTTTGTTTTGTTTTGTTTTGAGGAATTGGATGTGTAACGATCTGCTTCCGAGAAATGAATTTTAACATCCAATACAACGTAGAATGAATTCAGTATTTTATGAATCATTCATGACTGCACGTTGAGGCTATGGGAACCCTGTATGATAATTCATACATCATCCAGGCCTCAGAACTGGAAAAAATAAAAGAAAAAGAAATCTTTAAAATGACCCGAAAAATGTCCTGCTGGGGTTTATTACTCACATTGTGTTTCATAGCATGTAGCAATTTTGCAGGTATCAGTCATAATTTATGTCAGTCCTGCCTGTGAGTTATCACCCGACTCCAGACTCTAAAACAGGGTCTTGTTGGCATTTTTAAACATCAGTCATTTCATTCTTTCATGTCATTTGCAAAAGTGTTGAGAAAGGGATCTTTTCATTTTATGTTGCTTGAAAGAAACCAGGATTCTTATTGTCCTGTGCAATAGTTCTCAAGGCAAACTGTATTTTATGACCACAATGATGGTTATAATTTTAATGTACAACCTGCAAATGTTAAATCTACTGTTATGGTCTGACACAAAGCAAGGCAAGAAAATGAATGAAAAAACAGCCAACATTTCAAAAGGTGAAGACTAATACAAAAATGCCCTGGAAAGTTACTGTATTGTGGTAAAGATTACATTACAAAATTGTTAACATGTAGAAATCTATACAAGCCAGTGCTTTAGAACATTTTGGCAATTATGGGATTAACAGGAAGGAAGATAGAAAAACAGGTCTTGTTGTGCTGAGGTGGGATAGAGTTCACATAACTAAAGAGTATCAAGGTTCACAGAGTTTTAACTTATTAATCTGGTACTGAAAGTTCCCCGTCTCCGTCTTCTTTGTCTCAATTTCCTCGTCTTTATCCCCTGTTCTATTTTACAGAATTGGTTCCTCATTGCAAGTCTCTATTGGTTTCACCTCATTTATGTCCAACTGTTTAAACCTATTGCAAGTTTAATTCTGTTCTTGCTGGATAATTATATATTTTTATTTTTTTATTTTTTTGTTACTGTTGTTCTTTCTTCTGATATTTGTTTTGTTATGTTCCCTGCCCTGCAGCACCTTCTGTTATTAAGTTTTTTTTGTTTGTTTATTTTTTTAGCTTTTTTCTAATCTGTCGGCTTTTCTGATGTAAGTTTGGGACATGCCGGCATCCCAGTTTGTTCCTTTTGAATTCTGTGTTTGATTAAACCTGCTGAGAGTTCAGTTTTGTATATCCAGTATTTTGTGTAGTCATAAAATCCTGACTTAAACCACTTCTGTTGTATATAAAACCTGTTTTTGTTGGCTTTTAAGCCCCTTTTTCTGTATTTATTTTACAAGACGTTCTGTGGAATACTAATCAATCGATCAAGCAATCAATCAATCAATCAGATTTTTTGTGTAGCACATTTTAGCAGCAAGGCAGTGTGCTCCATAATAAAAACAAAATTACAAAGTTTTTAAGAAAACACCAAACAGTCAACAATTTAGCATACATTGCATTTTAATGAGTGCCATCAACACACATCAAATATTTCAGTCTGTGTTTCATTTAATGTGGTTCAAAAGCAAATCTCGACCATATGGAGGACTCAGTGAGCATGCTGGAGGGAGAAGGTGCAGAAAATAAAAGAAGAAAAAAACTCTACAGGTTACTCAGCCAAATATTTGGGAAACAAAAGAAAAACAATGGGAATCAAGCTATTCTAAAGATTTTTTTAAATGGTCAGTTCTTGTGAATTTTTGCCAAATTATTTTTAAGGAACCCTAACAATGACAAACACATCAATTAAGATTAAAAAATGATAGCGAAATCCAGGGACTGCACCGTTTTTTCCCCCCCATTTTGTTTTAAAATAAAAACAGTTTAATTTTTAACATCTGTAACTTTCTGAACTATCATAGTTTTTCAGAAACTACATAATCATTTTCTATATTTTGCAACTGGAAAGATGTGCAAAGTGCTGGGTTTGTCTATTTTTGTAAGCAATGGTCAGTTAAGAGACCAGCAGTTAATGGCAATACTGGCACTTTCTCTGGCAACTGATTGACAGCCATTTAAGCTGTAGGAATGACATGATGGAAACGTCCAGCAGTTTTTAAAATCTTACTAGATCTTGATATTGTCAGGTCCTGGGTCGTTAGGAGGTTTAATTTATTGATTCTAGTTTCATTATTCTGTATTCCTGAGTCTCTTTCTTGGATTAAGCCAGCCTTGTTTCTGTCTTACCTCAAGTTCTTCTTTGTCATTCTAGCTTATCATGTTTATTTCTTCCTTATGTCTAGTTATTTCTTAGATACATTTTTCTAGTCCCCTGACTGTGTACTCTTCCTCGCATGTTGCTGCCGCTCTCTCTCTCTCTCTCTCTCTCTCTCTCTTTCTCTCTTTCTCTCCGTGTTGCGACGTGTTGCCTAGCATAGCACTGCGTGTTCCTGCTCCTTCACACATGCACCTCGTTTATAATCACCCATCTGTTCCTTATTCAGTAATCAAACTCCCCAGTATATATACAACTTATTATCAGTCACTCCTTGTTGGTTCCTCCAATTAAATCCCTTAATTCCATGGTTTACCCTGCTGGCCTTTTTCCTGTGTTTATTTATTTATTTTTTGCTCTGCTCTGGCTCCCTATGTTCTTGTTCATTTTTTCATTAAGTGTTCATCATCAACTTGCCGTTTCTGCCTCTCTGGATTTAGACTGATTGCTCCACAACTCACCATGACAGATATTGCCCAAATTTGTAAACTGCCTAGATTTACTATGAATGTAGGCTGCAAGTAAGACATTGACTGCACACAGCTAGTCCTAACACCCTCACTATAACATTTTTGTATTTACTCTCTGCATCAAACATTGCAAACGTCAGTGTTTTTTTTAACCACACACATAAAAATAATCCTGTGTGTAAATGGCTCATTCTGAGAGAAATAATTTATAAACACTAATCCAACACCCACACAGCCAAATCACAATTTATCCACTCTCCTTAAAGTCTTTTATGCGGGTTCAGATGTTGGATACAGAACACACTTATGCGTTACGACAACACCCATTCAGTCCTAAGCTACAAACTCAGCATGGCTTATAATGTCAGATTTACACTCGGCGGCCTCAGATGTCCCAGTAAAAACAAAGCTGAGACAATGAAACGACACATGCACAGCTTACAACTCTTTTGTCGTTGCTTTTGCTGGGCTGAATTCGGGGCTTTCGGGAGCCGAGCGGGTTCACATGGTGAGTAAGAAGACGTGCTTGTGCAAATGCGTGAGCGGTTTGGAGGTGCAGCGTTTGGAGGTTTGGAGGTACCCAGACACTGAAGTAAGTCTGTGGCGTTGACCTGCTGGTCTTTGGGAGTTGCATGGAAATTTCTATGTCAATTTAACCTGTTGTTCACAGGTTGTCATTCACAATGACAGGGGTGTCAAACTCCAGTCCTCAAGGGCCGCTGTCCTGCAGTGTTTAGATGTGCCACAGGTAAAAAACAGTGGAATGAAATGGCTTAATTACCTCCTCCCTGTGTAGATCGGTTCTCCTGAGCCTTGCTAGTGACCTAATTATTATTTTCAGGTGTGGTGCAGCAGAGGCACATCTAAAAGTTGCAGGACAGCGGCCCTTGAGGACTGGAGTTTGACACCCCTGTCACGAGGACCCAAATTTGGGTCCTCTCGTGAATGACAGGTTAAAGAGGACAGACAAAATTGGCACCGCACGGTCGCTACAAACGAGCCGGCGTACCTGATCTCCCTGTGAAAAACGCAACACACCCTGCCTCCCAGCAGATCCATGTACACATAACTCACCCAGAAGAGCTGCGGCTCCCTGGCACTTAGAAACCTGCTCTGTTTTCCACACGGGATGCATTTTTTTTTTTTTTTATGTTTTTACCAGGTGTCGAGGTCCGATCAGATGTCAACCCTGTACACCCTTTCGTAAATGCTTTTGAAATAGACATTTAAATTGTGAGTGTGCGTGTCTGCCGCTGCCTGAAGACGGCAGACAAACTGCAAATAGTTTGACAGGGTGGGCCCCGCAGCTTTTGTGTGCTGCCATGACGCCATAGTTGGTGTCCTGCTTTATAATGCCGCTTCAGTTGACTTAACGCAGCATCCGAATCTGCTTAAGACCACAATAAGCAGCTTCTCTGCGTATATTGAACATAACGCTGAGGGCCAGACAGAGAGAAAACACGAACTTAACACTTGCATGTCTTTGTTGGTAAGGTCACCAAGAGGAGCAAAAGCACAATGCTTACTGAATGTGTCCTGTTCCTTGTTGTTTTCTGAAGAGATGTTGTTTGTAAGAGAAGCAGGTTGTGTGAGGTTCATTTCTTAGAGTTACTGTGGTTCAAGTTTCTCTTTTACAATTTAGGTTCAAATCAAGTTAAAAGTGAATGTTTGTGTTCTGAGGGAAATTCACACTTCCAGATTGAACATATACTTCCATTTTTAAAGAGACTGGCTCTAAAACGTGTTCTAGCGTTGCTCTTTGTCAAGCTTTTTATGTGCCTCTCTTCCCTTTGTTTTCAAGGAAAGCTTAAT